TGATCCACTAAACAATACAGTTAAAGACAGAAGACACATTAACTGTCTGCATTTTCCTCCCAATATTCATAAGACGAGAACAAGTATTTCCCAAGTTTTTAAATAGCTGCTTACTTAGATCACTAGAAAATGGCCCCATCCCACATAGGATGCAAAAACCCAGCGATCCACTATTAAGTGAAGCTGTTCCAGATAAACTGTGAGCCAAATGACCCTGGAAATTTAGTACCCAAGTTGCGTGACTCGAAAATCTGTTCAAAGCAAGGCATGGCTGCAGGCCTTGACTGTTGTACTTTAGTAACCATAGTAACATGGTCTCTGGAGACCTAGTGCTAGTGAATTTTCCTTTATTTCAAGGAAGAGTAATAAGAGAAATGTGGATTGGAACTTGTTTTCCGTCTCTTCCCCCCCCCCCCCTCTTATTTTTACTATGCCATGACCTTGACCAAAATATCTTTGAAGTATTTGCTGCCTGATTTTCTGCCATGGGACCAGAAAAAAAAAATCAGGATATATAAAGGATCTTGCCAAAGGAAGTCCTACCTTCCTCAAAATATTTGCCTTCATTCCCAAAGAGAACCTCTTGACTAATAATGTTTCGAAAACTTCTTAATGGAAGGAACTGATAACTTTCATCTCCCAGCTACTGCAGGCAATAGAATAATGTTGTACTTTCTTTGAACTGACAGATTAATTGTTTTTGTTTCAGTAGCAGGTGCAGCTTTTCGTGAGTACATAATTGGATGTACATGTTCTTGCAAAAGAACACAGGCCCCTGTCTGGTGCCAAGCCCTTTTTTTTTTTTTAATTCTTTCATTTTTTTTTCCATTTGGGAAAAAAAAAAATAGCCACATGATTTCATTTGTAAAGTACAATGTAGAAAACTCATGTAAGTGTTTTTAAAAAGCCAAATACAAACAAACAAATGTTCACAATACATACTTAAGGCTTTCTCACATGTTTCAGCTATTATCCTGCATTAGAAATTCCATCTGTCATTGAATCCATATGGTTTACCAAATGGCAGTTTATAACCATGTATTTTTTTTCAGATTTGAAGTTAGTTGTTTTTTGTTGTGAAAGTTTTAATGCCCAAGCTCATATCTTTGTCTGTGTTTCTATGTGCTGGGTGTGTCCCCTTGTGCATGTGTAAGTATGTGCAAAATCGCTAACAGTTGTAAGAGGGTGCAAGTGGACTTTATTGATTAAAACACACCAGTTGTACATAAAGCAAATAACATCAGCACTGAGCTGTGGAGTTCAGTTATTTCCTCCTCGAAATCCAAAAGCCCTGTTACAGGCTTCCCATTATTTCTACTGAAAGCTGCCTTTACATTATTTCTACTGAGAAAAGCTGCCTTTACTTCTCTGTGTTGTCTCCTCTGTGTTTTGGGCAGAGAAAAGCTGCCTTTACTTCTCTGTGTTGTCCCCTCTGTGTTTTGGGCAGACACATACTTACGCTATGAAGCTGGTCCACATCCGCTTTCCCTTTTCTTCCCCCCAGGTTATCTATTACCCAGGTAGAGGGCTGCTGTGGTTCTGACACAGCACACCAATGCAGCCTCCCTTTCACTGGGAATGAGAGAAAGCTATTGCTGAGAACCCTATTTCAGTAACTGAAAGCGTTTAAAATTGTAAGTGGGGCCATATACTTTGTTGTCCTGTTTCATTTGTAACTTAGAACAAAAAAGCTGGGAATAGTTTTTGCTCATTCTCATGGACTGAAGCTGTCTCTTTTCCACTCAGTCTAACAAATCACTAGGATTCTAGCCAGATAAATGGAAAATTTCTATGCAGGATTACTGTAAAGTGGTTTAGTATGGAGTTGTATATGATACCTGAGAGATTTGTCTGAGAGGTCAGACGAGGTCTTTTCCTACTAATCTGCAATCGTTATTCCCCACTTCTGGGGTACCAGACCTGTGTTAGCAAACAGATTCTACCTCCCTGGCTGCAGCAAGCAGGTAAGAAAAGCAAAAATCTCAGCCCAACTCTGATTCTATTCAGAGTGCTCTGTGCTACAGCTGTCAGGTTTCACACTCAACTGTTTTAGGGTATGTACTTAAGGGTAATATTGAGAAAACAGAAAAATTTGCAGTCATAGGTGAGAGTCACTGGTTAGGAAGTTTTACTCCATGTCTAGCTCGTGTCTTTTTAGTGTGTCTGAAGCAGCAGGTTTCCCATCTAAAATGAGGTTTAGACACATGGAATTTGTGTTAATCCTCAACAACTTCATGTGGCTCCATAAAAGTTGTTGTTGCACCAAAGTGGGTTTTTCTTTTCCTGCCTGCAGGGTAGAGGATCTGATGTCTGAATTTGGGGTCATGAAAACCAGGCAATCCTTACTTAAGAGATCTTAACTCAGGAGAAGACATCAGCATTTCAAGAACAAAACAAAGTGGGGGAAGTTTGGAATTCTCTTCATTTACATACATCCCTCAAATCCATACTTATTTCTCATAACCTAAACACATGGCTCCTTGAAATTTTCCTCTGCTTCTTCTTTCCTCTTGCTCCCTCCCACCCCTCCTTATATGTCACAACCTCACAGATGTAGCTGCCAGTCCGCTGATCTGAGCCCTTAGAAATGGTTAAAAATGGGACACATGGTCCCATTTCCCTTTCCTGTTTTAAAAGCCTGCAGCTGGTCCAGCCCGACTCTGGCTCTGTGAAAGAAAATCTTGTGTAAAGAAAAATCTGCCCACCTTCACTGTGAGGGAGCAGGTTTTACATTTTAAAGGTAGAAACTCATCTCTTAGGGTATGTGTCTAGGACTAAAGAGTGTGTACCAGCATGTTGGATGAAGAAGAGCAATTTTTTGATAGGGGCATTTATTTCTTGACTCATAAAAGCAATCTTTGGAAAAGGCAGGTTCTCCCCAGCTATTTCTTACAGGGGTTGAAAACTCCAGCTTACCTGCAGGACCAACCACATTTCAAGGATGCTCAGCATGATACATGTGAGATTCTTTATTAGTATTCAGATCCTATGGTCATTTTGTTAAGCCTTCCCAGATAGAATTTGTTGTATTTATGTGCATAGGTTAAGAAAATTTCTTCAATTACGAACATTTCTTTAATGTTCTAAAGTTCTACCTGCCCCAGCTGCACAGGCAGGACTGGAGATCTTTTGGGACATGCATGTAACAGCCACAGACATGAAGGAGCTCCCTTAAATGTCCTATGGTTATCTTTGTGGAAATTTTTATTCTGTCCAAATTAAAAGGCCTGCTAGATGTTCAAAATGTAATAAAATTCCTAACATCACATCACTGATGGTTTCATTGCTGTGAAGATGAGTTCAAAGAGACAAGATGCCAAAAATGCTTTCTTGTCTCCACTTGACACTGGACATGGATATGACAGATATCATCTATGGAGGCTCCTCTCAGTGCAGTGAAAGGCATAGACGTGAATATGTAGAAATCTTGACACATTGTCTTCTGGTTAGTGAGGTGCTAAGATGAATCTGGGCATTATTTAGAGCAGAAAATAGCAGCAGTCCAGCAACTTCTTGCACTTGGAAGGTCAACTGGGATAACCAGTGTTCAGCACAAACCCAACTACGCAGAGATAACGCTTGTTCTGGAAAGGATCTGTCTCTTTAGAGCTGACCTGGGCCTGGCAATGATTTGCACTTGACTATTCTTAGCCATGACTCATGGTTAGCACTGACTTGGTTGAAGCAGTTGCTGCTACAGCTCTTTCCAAAGGTAGGTGAGCCACTGCAGTCTCCCCACTACATTTCTCCAGTCATCATTTCACAGGTTCTTTGAGACACACAAATGTGGTCCCATTGGGCCGCATTTCCAAAGGTGCTCCACATTTCTGATTGGGACCGAATCTTCTGAGGAGGTCAGTCTATTGTGCACTGAACTCTTGAAATTCTGCCCACCATTGTCACAGTGGGAACAGGCTTCGAGCAGTCTTGGAAATCTGGTCCTTATTTAAGAACCAAAAAGAGAACCAAGCTCACAAAAATATGTCAGTGTGTCTGGTTACTGAGTGATTGAAAATCTGCCCTCATTGTGCTTCAGGATTAACTCAGGATTAATAGGCACATTGCTACAACAGTACACTGAAAAAAGGTGAAGCAAGGATAGTAATAACATAGCAGTATTTCAGCAGCAGCCATTTGAACTGTCATCATCTCAAAAGTCCTCAGAACATGAAAGGCTCATCTAAACAACCTTGGAATACAAGCCTGCTGGAGTGAAGATATGTTACTGAGTCTTTACCAAGGGAAGAGAGGCAAAATTAGCCAGTCTGCATGCAGCGTGATGATCTTGATGTCTACGTCAAGTAGTTTGCTTAATCCTTACTTGTTAATTTATATATTGCTTATTTAATCCTTATTTTCCTGGTTATTTTCCTTACATCACTGACTCCATAGGAATTAATTCAGGTTTCCTTTTTAGACTAAACATGGGTCTATATCACTGAAGTATTTATTTCCTACTTTATATATTCATTGCATTTACGCAATTACGTCACACAGGTATTTTCATAGAAGCATATGAAAATAGCCATGCATTAAATTACAAGTCCAGTTTTAAAGTGACAGCTACCACAGTACATGCATTTAATTTTCTTGTTGGAGATTATTATATTATCTATATGTATCAATGCATGTACATTCAAAGCAATTATTATAGAATGTGATGTTTTAAATTAAAAGCAAAAAGAGTACTTGACACTTGCTATTAAGCTTTTAATTATATGAATTAATGATAAAATTTAAAGTAGATAATAACCTAGTAATGTAATATGGTAGTTAACACTGAAATTACTTATCCTAACTTTATTAAAAAAAAGAAAAAACTATGTTCCATATTGTTATTCATCTTTCATGTTAGGAAAAAAGGCCTTTCTGCAAAATTTGATGGCCAGCTTGTTTGCAGAGTGATTTTTTTCAGATCTAGAATATTCTTAAAACTACTACATTTTATGCCCCTTTTACTTTTTACGTTCTGATTATTTTTAATATTGTTTCCCTTTTAGTCACTGAACGGTTTTGCATTGGTGGTGAGTGCAGACGGAATGATATTTTATGCGTCATCAACGATTGTGGACTATCTAGGGTTTCATCAGGTAAATATATTAACTAATATTTACAATACATAGTCACTCTCATTGTAATGACTTTCTTGTACTTACTCCTGCTAACTGGCTTTCTAAAATGCAGCACTTAAGCTATTTAGCATTATCCTTCTACTGCTGATTAGACATACAGTATTACTGAAATTAAGATATTTTATGATGCCATTTCAGGCTAAATTTCTTTTTTGAGCTGACAGGTGAAGATGAATTCCTTGTAATGTTGTTCCTTTTGTAAAGTTTTTGTTAACAGTAATGTAATCCATCATAAAAATAAGATTTAGCTAAAAGTTTCTTTTCAATGTCAGTATAAGATGCTGCTATACATTTAGACATACAGACTGGTTGCCTATGCATAATAAATACATTGTGAAGTCACAGAATAACAGAACCATGTATTTGGAAAGGACCTATGGAGGTCATCCAGTCCAACCTCCTGCTCAAAGCAGATCCAGTTAGGGCAGGTTGATCTGGGACTCATCTGATCATGTTTTGAGTTTCCATGACCCCTCTGCGTGACGTATTCCATTGTTTAACCACCCTGTCCATATTTTTTTTCCCCTGCTTGTATCAAGTCCCAGTTTCCCATGTTGCAGCTTGTATCTATTGTTTATTGTCCTCCCACTTTGTTCCTTTGAGAAGAGTCGGGCGTTGTCTTCTTTTTACCTGCTTATTTGGATTATATAGACAGCAGTAAGTTCTTCCTGAAGTTTTCCCTTAAGGCTGAACAAACTGTTCTTCTCTTCTGTTATGTCATAGCTCCAGCCCTGTTAGTGTGGTGGTAGTGTTCTCCTGGGCTCACTTCTGTATGCCAGTATCTTTCTTTTCCTGGGGTACCCAAAATTAGAAATTTGCCTTTGTTGAACTTAGCCCATTTTTACAGCCTGTCAAGGTCTGAGTAGCCATCCTGGTCTCCCCAGTTGGTACTCGCTCCACACCTACAGAAAGTGCACTCTATCCCATTGTTCACTAAACAAGAAATTAAACAGGGTCTATCCCAGCATTAATACCTGGGGCATACCACTTGTCACTGGCTGCCAGTTGAACTTTTTAAAGATTTCCATTTGCATATGCACAAAAGAGTTAAGAATAAAAAGAATCATCTTAGGATATGAAATCAGAAAGCCGATGCTGTAAAACAGGGGCCTCTGAAATAACTTTCCTCAATCAATCTTTGCTCTGAAGATATCCTACACCAGCCATTATTTTCAGTAAAGTATCAACTTAAAGATAAGTGTCTGCCTCACTACACTTATAAATTAAACATTAATTGTTGTAATTATTTCAGACTGATGTAATGCACCAAAACATATATGATTACATTCACGTGGATGATCGCCAGGATTTCTGTAGACAACTGCACTGGGCCATGAATCCTCCCCAGATGTTATCTGGACAACCACTACAGGCAGAAACAGGTGGGATTGTATATGTTGACTGGAAACATAGGCACCACTGTACAAAGGTTGAATTGCACTCAACCTATGCCTATGTCTATTCTGTGTAAAGTCACATTTTTCATTGGAAAGCTGCATGGTGGCCATTTATAATCTTATTGTCCCATAGATGATGTTTCTTCCTGATCCGTAACATTTCTAAGGTAGCGTGTGCCACTGAGGCTGCAAAGTTTATGTTTCCTTTATTTTTCTCTGACTAATGTACTTACAGGTATTCTTACCCACAAACAGCATGAGTGTCCATCCTACCAAGCTTTTATTCACGCTGATTAGGACGCCAGCATTCCTCTCAATAATACAAAAATATCCCATGCAAAACTTTTCTGTACACTACCACAATAGCAACATCAATTTCTGTCATTTGTTTTCCCATGCAAAATTATGCATGAAGGAGTCATCAGACGAGCAAGTAGGTTTAGCAATGCGCTTTTCCTTCTGAGGGTTGTTTTTCCTTAGAATGGCAGGTGGATACATGTGCCCAAGGTTTCTCCTGTATGAGGCGTGAAGCTGAAATCATGACTAGAGAACATACTGCGGGTTTGAAACTGTTAACTGTATAAAGAATTATTGATCCCAGAAAAATATATGCATTTCACCAGCAGGTGAGGAAATAATTGAGGAAAGAAACTGAGGAATCACAGCCTCCAAATGGGGGAAGGAGAAACTTGCAAGAAATCCTACAGTAGCCTTTATGAGGTTCTCAGGAATACAGTCAGAAAACTTTGGTACAATTTCTTGCAGTTTATATTTTTTGCAGATATAAGAGGAACTTTGCAAGCTTTTGTAGGGGGTACACAGAAAACAAACTAAAAAAGGTGCATGAATATTTCTAACTATAAAAAATAACAAATGTTTGGAAGTTTTGTCATAATACAGTGGAGAATTCAATGCCTGAGTTCATACTTCTGTACAAATAAATATTTCTGTCTTTTGGAAAATAAGTATTTTAAAAGGTATGCACATGTGTTGTGGTTTAGACTCAGCTGCAACTCAGCACCACAGTCATTTGCTCACCTTCCTTCCCATTTCTGGACAGGATGGGGAGGAGAATCAAAAGAATGTAAGTCGTATGTGTTGAGATAAGAACGGTCCAATGACTGAAGTATAATATAAAACTATTACTAGTAATAGTATTTATAGTAATGATAAAGGAAATAATGAGAGAAGAGAATATAAAAATAAAAGGGGAAAAGGAAAATAAAACAATAAACACAAGTGATGCACAGTACAATTGCTCATCACCTGCCGACCAATACCCAGCCCAACTCGAGCAACAATTGGTCACTTCCTGGTGACTCCCCCCAGTTTATATACTGGGCATGATGTGCTGTGGCATGGAATACCCCTTTGGCTAGTTTGGGTCAGCTGTCCTGTCTCTGCTTCCTCCCAACTTCCTGTGCCCCTCCTCACTGGCAGAGCATGAGAGACTTAAAATGTCCTTGATCAGGGTAAGCATTACTTAGCAACAACTAAAACATTGGTATGTTATCAGCATTGTTCTCAGACTAAAGCCAAAACACAGCACTGCACCAGCTACTAGGAAGAAAAATAACCGTTACAGCTGAAACCAGGACAACTTGTAGTCCAAAACTGGAAAATGCTTCATTAAAAACCAAGTAGGCAACAGATGATCATTAACTTATCAGTTGTTGTTAATTTGTTTGTTTTTTCCTGACAGTAGTATTTTCCCTTTCATTTTGTTCCTCTTCCTAAGGTATTTTTTGTGATCTCTGATCTCAAAACCAGCAACATCTGTTACCCTGCTTTGCATCATGAAAAATCACAAAAACTCAGGAAATAAAGAAAAAGTCAAAGTTTTTTAAGAAACTCATTGTAGGGCTTTTCTACTTTTTTTTTTTTTTGGGCAAAAGCATATGCAGATGTACCTATACCTGATGCAATCTAATATTCACCCTTCCATAAAGTAGGCTTTATCAATTTCCATAACAGTTTCTTCAGCTGGCTACAGAACATTTTCATTCTTACTTAGCGTGATCTGATACATATTGCTTCCACTGTTGTTCCTAGGAGAAGAATATATTCTCAGTAAATTGTTTAAAGCACAAGAGAATGACAGCATGACAACAGATTATTCTTCCTTTTTAACTCGTTGTTTCATCTGTCGAGTTCGCTGCTTGTTGGACAGTACTTCTGGTTTCCTTGTAAGTATAATTTCACTTAGAGAACTGTATTCATGACATACTAGATTTTAATCACTTCATATGAAAAATACTTCAACACAAATATTGAACATAGATATTGTGGAGAGCCATGGACAAGATACACCTCTCATTTGCTGTGCACTAACAAGAAGTACCTGAACACATTAATGCATATAAAGAGTGATGGGAAAAGAGAGGTTGTAACATTTGAAACTGAAAGAATCTGTAGACTTCTGTGTTTTAAGCTCTTTTGGATGATATCTGTCCTCGGTTTGTATTAGGCCTAGCACAATGATGGCAAGCCTGAGTTTCAACAATTGACGTGTAAGCACAAAGTATTTGCTTTAAGAAGAAGCAATAATAATGGTACATTTTCCCTTTTTGCAAAAGGTCTTTTAATAATAAAAAACAGAATTAGAAAGTCTCACTCATGCTCCTCAAATATCTTTACTAGGAGTGGCTCATTTTTACAAATAACTTCCCCATTTTTTTAGTAAAGACCAATGTTGTTTCTTTGACATACAATGATGAAGTATGGCATGTGGAATGAAAATGAGAGTAGCAGCGTGAGACAGGAAAATGCAACTTCTGTTTCAGATGCTCATTTGCTGGAAGATAAGCTTATTTGGTGCAGGTCTAAACAGCAATTCAGTTAGTCATTTCTGCATCCCTGTTTTAATCTTGGAGCTCTGGAAAAAGCCGAACTCAAATGGACTGATTTTTCTCTGGTCATTTTTTTCACTGAGAGGAAGCAGTTTGCTGCTCAAGTTAATAATTTCATCTCTGCCTTCTGATTATGTAAAGATTTGAGGCAGGGACAGATAGCTTCTTCCAAGCTATGTGCTTTGTATCCAGTCATCTCGGGCATATCTTTTGCCTTGGCATCTGCCTGCGCAGCCCTTGGATTATGCCAGTCCATATACTTCCCAGAGAAAGTGCAGGCAAGAAGAAAGAAACTCAGGAACCATTTCACTGGAGAGAACAGAGCATGGAAAACTAAAAGTTCCAGCTTCAGAGTGAGGCACAGAGGAAATAACTGTTTGCACCACCGTACACTGCCTGTACAGAACATAACACAGAACTTCTACTTCAAATATGCAAGAGAGACAAAAACAAAAACCAGCCTTGGATGTCTCATTTTACTGTTGATAGTACCTCCACTCACCATGCCTCTGAAATGGCATGGTTTAAACTCCATGTAGAAAATGAGATTCCTAGTTTTTCTCCCTGTTTCAAAATTGGTGTTAAACAACATGGTCCATATGTTGTATTATAATTTCAAATGTTTAAACACTAAATGCATAAGATAATGTTTTTTTTCTTTTTTTCTTTTCTTTTTTTTTTTCTTTGTAAAACAGACAATGCAGTTCCAAGGCAAACTAAAGTTTCTTTTTGGACAAAGGAAGAAGTCCTCATCAGGAACAGTATTGCCACCTCAGCTGTCATTATTCTGCATAGTGGTACCACTTCTGCTCCCTTCTGTGACAGAGATGAAGATGAAAAGCCTACTTGTGAAAGCAAAACATAAAGCTGATGATGCAGCAGCAGTGAATACAAAGTATTTTCAAATTAATCTTTTAGCTGTTATTAAATTATACTATGGGCTTTATGTTTATTAAGCATGTGAAAAGCACAAAGTAGACTAAATAACTCCATTTTAAAAATTTTTCTTAGAAATGTGAATAATTTATATGGATTAAATTACATAATACATAACTATGTTATAATATATAGCCTTAATATACCTTATATATAACACATGTTAAGTATTATATTACTATATATATAATTTTATAGAAAAATTGGAATTTTGGGATATCTTCCTAACCATCAGATGTTACCAATGCAATAATTCATTCTACTGGTTGTAAAAGTGGAAAAGAAAAGGTATTTTTGCTAACAGTTTTCAAATCTCAGTATCTTCTGGTAGCACAATTATTTGGACTTGGATACTTCCTTATTTCCTTAAATATAACCTTATGGAAATGAGGTCTATTGCTATGGGGTAAAAAGCTCATCAGTGTCATTGACAGCATCATAATTTGGCTTTTAATTAGAATATGCTCACGTATGTGTGGATTTACTATCCAGATGGGTAATGTGGGTCTAGCACATGCATCGTTTTTACAAGAATTAAATTACTGGAAGGCTGACTTAATGGACTATGCAGGTTTTTGGTACAGAGTTGAAATGTCGTTTCCACTTGCTGGTTTTTCCATGGCCCACATGAAATTAATTGATGATCAGAATTCAGTTCCTAGAACAGAGGTGCTGAACTTAAGTTTTGCTAATGAGCTGGATGGTGGCCAGGGATTTGACAAGAATGAAGCAGGCATTTAACTTCAGCATTTCCTTTGGTTCAGGCCTGAAGCATTCTAGCCAGCGGCAGTGGGCAAATTTATATAGTAATTTTTTAAATGGTGGACTTAATAAGGGGAAAAATTGGTAAAGCAGTGTTATGGACTTAGTACTGTTTTGAAGCCTTAATACGCATTTTGAACTAAAGATTGGAAGAAATCCATTCAAACTATATGACGATTATTGCAAGCTGAAGTCATGCTGACTCTTAAGTACATTGCTGGTCAGTGTGATGTATGTACCTCGAATGTAACCTCAATAGGCAGAGCAGAATATACACAGAATTTGTTTCAGTTGAAGCTGAAATTTATTATTCCAGATATAGTAAGTCATGAGCAGAATATTCCTAAGCACAACTGTTCTTCTTCATTGAATACATAATTCCAGTCACACACTAGTTTGAGCAACCAAACAATGCAGGAAACAGGGGTAATTATTTAGTACTGGTTACTATATACTTCAAACATAAATTTTTACAAATGGTCAACAGCTTGAAGATCCCATCTTTCAGAGTCTATGTTTCTGCTGTGTTCTCATTCACTGACAAGGAATTTTCCACATTTTCTGTCTTCTACAGCTCCAGTTCCAAAAGTAATTCAGGGCTGTGTGAAGCAGCAGATTTATATGGAAGAAACAGTCATCATGAAGGTGCTGCTTTCACTAATGTATTACAGATTGCTGAAAACCAAATCAAAGGTGTGTCTGCAAAGTACTCCTGGATTATATACACTGTATGCAGAAAGAACCTTGCTTTTTCTCCTGTTAAGTTTTTCAGGTTTTGTTCCAAATACTGTCTTTTTTTCTTTTTTTTAAACCCCTTCTTTGAAATAATACAAAAAAAAGTTGTCTGCCTCAAAAGGTAGTACTGAATCAGTCTGCTATTTCAGAGTGGAAATAGATACTGTTATGCCAAGTTTACAGGTATATAAACAACACAGTATATGCTCAACTTATGCTTTCCTAAAAATGGCAGCACTTAATTTAGTGAGATTATGTGAAAATCTTAATGACAATATCTATCCCTCTATGAGGAAAACTGGATGACATGTTACACATGCTAGTTTTTTCCAAAGATCATAAACCAAAGAAAATTAGAAAGTATTGTCTTTAAAACTCATGACTTGCTTGCAGCTTTGACTCATGTTTTTCCAGCATTTGGCTGTGGCAATATTATGAGAGTCTATGCTGTATTTCAGATTTTACAATGGATTAAATTTTGATGGTGAGTCTACCCCAATGGGCATCTTATTCTTGAGTAGAGTTGTGCTCAGCCTTCTGTCATACCTGCTGAAAGTCTTTAACTTCTTTAAAACCATTCCTCTGTTATAGCACCATTTTTCATACACACTTTCTTGTTGGTTAGTACTACTACAGAGAGGGAAAAATTATAATGAACGAATAATACTGCAAAATCCTTGGTTACAGTTTAGGTGCCTCATTAGGCTTTTCCAATTATTTTTTTAATGTAATTTGCCCTGTTTTGTGACATGTTTTAGCTTGTACTTTCCTATGCTGATGATTCCAGAGCAGCAAAAAAAACATAGTTTAGGTATGAAAAAATATTAAATACTGCTTGTATTAAAATAGATTTTCTTTTAAATTGTATAGCGAAGAATAATGGAGAAAATGGCATTTCTCTAGTCAAAGTACAAAAAAGTGAAGATCACTGGGTCTGGGTTCAAGCCAACACTCAACTTCTGTATCGAAGTGGTTGTTCAGAGTATGTCCTTGCCCAACAGCAAATGTTAAAGTAAGTATATTTTTCAATGCTAAAACCACTCTATGTTTCAGCAAAATAATGTATTCTTCATGTATGAGATCTTTGAAAGGCCTGTCATGACCTAAGACAAGAGCTGAATGAGGATTTGCTTTACTTTTGAAATGGGAATCCATTTTTGTCTTGGATCGTATGAAATGGCTGTTATAATCCTAAACAGTATCTTTTATTTTTCTTAAGTCTTCTTTTCTCCTGAAATAGAATGTAAATACACACTAAACCAGAATACTTCAAAGTCAAAATGCTTGGCTATTGATATGTTTTTACTTTCTTGCACAAAAAAGTATATTTTGTGGCTTTGTTTTACTTGCAGCTGAAACTCTCTGCTGATTCAGTGTCCTAGTTTTTCTACTTTTAAACATTTGATGATGTTAAGGTTTGTTTTTTGTTGTTTTTTTTTTTGTCTTTATGACTCACAGTCAAGCTCATATTTTTAGGTCAACCTAATCTAAACAGGGATGCTCCTATTCATTGTATGTTTGTAGATAGATACATCTAGTTGGTTGTAGGCTCAGCCTTGGACTGGAAGCTAATCTCACAAATGTGCATTCAGAGAGGACTTCCCCAGTGTGTTTTACCCTTCCCTCCCAAATCAGCTTTTCTTCCTTCCCCATGGGATTGTCTGTTCCAGTTCTTGTGGGCCTTGTTGAGGCATCTCTTTAAGCTAGTCTGAGGGAAGAGATATCGAGTGGACTGAATGTGCAGGAGCCAGGTGTACATAGCCACCATCTGGCCCAGTGGAAAAAATGTGGCTGATATCACTGAGTTAGGATGTCTCACAGGTGGAAAAAATAAATGAAAAAGTCTTTGAACTTCCAGCGTAGGTATCCCTTGCAGGCAGCGTATCACTCAGTATCCACATGAATAGCAGAAGAGCTTCCACCTAAGGGTGGAACTTTATTGGGACAGCACAAACATCATCTTGCTGTGTGAAGGAATGAACTTCTATTAAGGAACAGATTAAAAGTAGATGTTTCTTATATACAAGTCTCTACTTCTAAAATGGTTTTTGTGTAACTAAGCATGCTCTTTGATCATAGAATCATAGAATGGTTTGGGTTGGAAGAGACCTTAAAGCTCATCCAGTTCCACCCCCCTTGCCATGAGCAGGGACAACTCCTACTAGACCAGGTTCCTCAAAGCCCCATCCTACCTGGCCTTCCACAGCTAAACACAGTACTCCAGGCGGGGTCATTTTTACTCTCTGAGTGGTTAAAATCCTTCCTTTGTGCTTGATAGTTCCTGCAGACTGGAGTGTTACAAGATCTGCCCGTGGAAGTTATATTCAGTTCTGTCTTTCTGATAGCCTGCAATAGACTTCATCCTTACTACTACTCCTTAGGAGTTTGTTTTTGTTTTTTTTTTAAATGTATGCTGCCTTCCTGGGAACATACATACATACATACATTCTTTTGGAGAATTTTAACTAGATGCTATTTCACTGTAAAATTCTTCATTTGGGATCTCAGTTTTTGTGACGACTGCATTTTCACCAGTCCATTGCTTGCTAATTAGTCCATTTCCTGAGAAGCTAGTTCTGCAGCAAACTTGTATCATTCCATTTACATATCAAGACTGTAGATAATAGCAATAATAACAGCTATTAAAGGACTGAAAATATTTAATTTCTCATGTTAAAAAAGAGAGAAAATATTCTCCTTTCTTGGTGTAAATTTATTACAGTGGGATATTCTCTCTTTCTAGCAACATGGACTCCCTCTACTGGAAAATCTTATACTTGCACCCAAGGCGGCAGCTTTTAGTAGCGAGCCAAGAAATAAGCCTTATAAACAGCTTACTAACTCTCCAGGTTTTCATGCTCCTTTCTTATTGAGAAGTCCACTTATTGTTCGGGGAGGGAGGCGTTGGTTTTATAGCACTGATCCTGCCTGGTCTGGAATCAGCACGTTAGTGAATTCAAGACAAATCCTGAACCTGAAGGTCTGAACACCACCTGCATTGGGCTGGAAACGCTCAGGCAACTTTGACAGAGCTTTTTCGTAATACTGAGTACTTCAGCTGGAGGTTATGGAAAATTAATTCCCTGGCCATCTTAGAAAACGAAAGGCAACATAAGTTAAGTTTGACATGTGAAACAAATTATGCTCAACATGAACACCTGTGACTACTCTGGCCACTTAATTTAGGCATCTTATTTCCTCTCATCTAACTTTGCATTCTCAAAATATAAGACCCCCATGGTTCTCCCTCAAATCATTTTGATCAGAAAGTCCTTATGTGTCCAAATAATTCTTTGTTAACAAAATGCATCTCCTTTAAGATACTCTTTGCATTTTATCTCTAGATTTTTCTACACACAAATATTTTTAGATAGATTTTAAAGGAAGAACAAAAGTGTAAGGTAGTTACCATACTGTACTACAATATTAAGGTCTTTGTGAACTATGTGCCTGAAATGGAAGAGTAAATTCATGTCAGAATTTCAATGAAATAGTGCCACAGAAAAGGTAGCTGTGCACACACTGAAATCCAGATGCATGCACACTCATTTTTTCCCTTGAACAAATGCAAAGGTTATAGGGACAAAAGTGTGAGAGTCCCGCATTAAGTTAACAACAAATATATTGCTTGTAAGGTACGTTGATCCACTCCATTTGTATACTAGAAAACATCCATGTAGAAACCTCTGATTGACCAATTTTTATTTTTTATTTTTTTGTAACTGTTATTGAAAGGGAAGAAGATGAACAACTGAAGATACTAAGTGGTTTTGCCAGTTTGAAAGGAAACCTGGAGGGGCTTTCCTATAACAGCGCCATTGAAACTCTGGGCCAGTGGAAGCATCTTAACTGGACAGCAGTAAAAAATGAACAAGATAATGTAAAAGTGAAGTTTGAGCCACATACAAACGGTGAGTGTTTTATGCAAGAGGAACCTCTCAGTTCCAACACATCAGTTTTAGGTGTTCAAAGCAACTGCACCACAAACAGTAGCTGGACTTTAAGAAACTCAAGCTCTTGTTCTATGAGCCAGCGAATGAACACATGTTCAAACAGGAGAGCTGGATCATTCTACAACAGAGACCAAAGCTTCTTAAACTTAGCATCAACTTGTCCTTCCCACTGGGGGAGCACAGAAAGCTGCCAGTCTTACTCAGGTGTACAACAACGTTGTGCGGAGAACTATGCAACGGACCATCTGAAAATGCAGAGACCATTCATATCCTCAGAGTCTTTCTATGACACAGCCTTTCCCTTGGAGATGCCTATCAAAACGGAATATGATTCTGATTCTGAAAACATTGCTGATAACTACCTGATCTCACAAAACCGAGCCTGGGTGGATGAGAACAGCTCAGTGAGAAAGCAGGTGTTTAGCTACCCCAATAGAGTACACCTCAAAACAGAACTGGACCTCTACGAGCCAGCCTCACCTTGTCAGAAGCCAAGGCACTGCCTTTACACACCGCATAATTGGCAGTGCATTGTAGCAAATCATCCCAACAACCTAAACCTGAACAGATCTTGCAAGGGTTCACGTAGCAAGGAGGTGGCCCCGTTTTATGCTCAGAACTCCTCCGGGTGTTTGGAAAGCATGCCCGACCTGACACACACGGCTTGCTATGGCCACTTCTACAGCCCCAGCCCAGGAGAGGAGAAAGAGCAGAATAATGAGGGGTTTAAAATGCCGTGTGAATTTAAAAAACCCTGCTTGGTTCAAGCAATCAAGCGTGAACCCCTGGATTCTCCACCATTGTCCAGCAGTGGACAGAACAGAATACAAATGAGCTTCCCTGAAAATACATTAGCAGGTCCTGTGCCTCATAAAACCACTGAATGTACATTTTTACAATAGATTTTATAACATTTGGAGTATTTATAATGTTAAAAGCATGAAGTTGTAGGTTCTCTTCCAGTTGGGTTAAATAATTTACTAAAATTAAAAGCCAGTGCAAAGATTTTGTGTGTGTGTGTGCGCATCTGTGTATGAGAAAAAACAGACACAGACACACACACATCATATACCCTGTACTGCCCTACTACCCTTCTCTTAGTGATCTTTGGAAAGAAAGAAAGATAAAACCTCAGGCACAGAAAAATAATCACTGCTCACTGCACAGGTATACATGCTAATTTGTCTTTTATCATCTCTCCTCTCATGTCTACAATTCATTGCCAAGGTCTAGCTATTTCTGTTTCCTGCCTTTGTTCATTTTTGTTTTCTGAAGCTGATATGGATGTCTCTGTGCAAACATAAAATGTTTATGGTCTTCAGTGTGGCCAGTTTACCTTAGTGTTTTTTGTATTTTTAGTTTTTTGCTATTCTAGTAAGAAGCATCTTCTATACCTTTATCTCAGCATTAAACTAATGGCAACAGGATAGCATTAATTAAAACAAATTACTTTCATAAAATGCATTAGAAATTATTTCACTTCAAACTGAAGTTCTTCCCAAGTTTCCTTGATAATACTGATGTTTTAGCAGCCATATTTTTCCATTCTAAAGCCATCAGCCTTTCATGTTGCTGTTCGAAAGACTGAACAATGGAATGTTACCCACTTCTGTGAGTTACCAATGCTGTAAAATGTACATGAGAAGAAAATATTTCCCCAATATTTATTGCTGTTATTTGTAACATTAACAAAGGAAATGCACTTTTTAATTTGATAGTATTTCTTTGATTGATAACAGCTTGTTAGATATTGTCACCTGGCATCAAAACCAAACACCACATTAAGATTACATATCTTATTTTCAAAAGCATCCTAGTTTCATTCTCAAAATAAAATCTTAATCTCTTAAACCAAGAGCTAACTGGAGGATGCATATGTTTCAAAAGCACAAAGTTTTTTTTTTGAAAACAGATCTGATGCTTTCCTTTGAACCCAGGCAGTAATGTATTTCCACCAAAAAAAAAAAAAAAAAGAGTACAACTTCTGGTTTGGTTTTTATTGTTGTTGTAGTTTGACTCCTGCACTAACTTTTGTTTTAAAATTGCACTATGTCAACTTTATATCAACTTCACCTATATAAAAACCACATCATTTTTTAAAAAAGGCCAAAAAAAACCTTAGATGTATATGTGCTTTTTGAAAGAAACCCTATAATGAATGTTTTCTTTTCAAAATATTATAAATAATTATAATGTCTTCATTTCTGTACCTGCTAGTCACTAAAGGCATGGCTTTACATGCCAGAACAGTGGCATAAACTTCTCCCAAATGCTATAAATATGTGCGATAAGTGTAGTTTATGGGGAATGTTTCTGCACCTGGGAGGCTGCTCTTCTCCAGAACTATCTGTCGTCTCTGATAGAAATTATTGCCTGTATATTAGAGTTGACAGATGCAAAGTTTACATTCTTTGCATGTCAGTTAAGTGCTTGTGAACAATCGTTTGATCTGAAATGCTGCACTTTACACTGAAATGGTACCTTTTGATGGTTGTCCTGCAGAAGGCAGTATTCCCAGCAAAAAGACGAGAGTCCACAGTAAAGAGGGACAATAATGTCTTACTTTAGCTCAAATTAATTCTGCCATAGTCCAGCTGACCATACCCAAGCCATGAAAACATACTTTTTTTGTGTGTGTCTGAGGTAAATCAGTTCCCTGTTGGCTATGTGCTGCTTCTTACTTAAGATAGTCTTGATATCCTTGCTTTAATACTTCTGCAACATCAGACATGTTCTGAAGTGAGACTACAATGGTGGAATTTACATGGCTCTCTGGTACACCGCTGTTCACATCACATCAATTCAAGCCAAACTGCAGAAATGCTTACAGGCAAGCAAACTGGCTACTCATGTACAGCAAGACTGCTGAAAAGCTGCCCATTTAATTCCATGCTTGGACTCACTGTCACACCCCTCTGAGAGAGAGTACCTGGGCCTGGTTTTGCACTACCTTGCACCTTTCTCTCATCATTTACATTGATGCAATGACTGTAAAACACTGTTGTCCTAATCTGGGCGTGCTGGTGCCATTTTGCACAATGTAAGTGTTTAAATCAGGTGCAGCTCTGTAGAGGACTGCACCACGGAATGCCTCATCTGTGCTTAGAAATATTTCCTGACATGACTACAATGGGACATCTGTATCAGCCAGATTTCTCTCTTCAATGTGGAACAACATATATTAACAACAGAAGTTCTGTACAGATCATTCTGTTACAGAATGAAGGCTGTTTTGTTAACATAAATACCTACTTTAAGGCTTTCCTTTTCCTGATTTACTTCAGTTGGGATGATTTTTCTCATGTTTCCAACAAACACAGACATATTTTACACGTCTTAATTGATATTATAGAGGTAGATGAAGCTTCTGCATGTAAAAGAATCTAATTTAAGAGATGTAACAGCCTTCTTCTAGGAGGATGGATGAACGTGTGACTCAAAAGTGCGATGTCACCTTCTGACTCCCTACTGTGTAAATTCAGTCAGGTTTGCTTCCCCATTGTTCCATAAAGTCTGAACCCAAACACACTAATCCTACACATCACATTTGAATTTGGCCCAGTTAATTTATGGCTGAGTAGTTATTCCAGGTCTCACATGAAAATATGTGGTATCAGTGGAATTCTTTATAAATTATCACACACATCCATCAATCTCCTAAGAACTGTACTTATAAAGTGATCAGCAGTTTATCCTCTTTTTGGACAACTGCTAACCACTGTCAATATGTTACTATGAGAGTAAACAAAGACCAGTTCCTTCAGTCACTCATGTTTAGCCCTTAATGAGCTGGTATTTGTATCCCTCAAACACAGCCCAAAAGTCTGTTTTAAGAGCCTCCAAATGTATTTATTGTAACAACAATAAAAAAGTATTCTTGCAGAAGAAATTCCTAGTCAAACACTCAACCTGATAGGAACTTGGAGCATAAAGGCTCCAAGAAATGCCTTTCTTTTTCCAGTGTGTGCTTCTAACACCTGACTGATGACAGTATTCAAACTTCCTAAGCCATAAACACTCCAGAGGTTGAGACAGAATGAGCTAATGAATTCTTGTGTTCGGGGATATTTTTTGATATTCATCCATATTTTTTCTATATGGAAGGTGAGCAGTTCTAAAAGCTCTAAAAGAATGTGTCTCCCTCTGAGATGTTGCTCAGTCCACAGACAACAGAGACTATTATCAATGCTAAAGCTGCTGAATAAGGTCTTGTCTATACTGCGAATGTGGCCTGATTCATGTGTCAGTGGACAGCTGTCGAGCACCATATGAATGCTAGTCCAACTGAAGTACACCATTGTAAGCACTATTTTTACCAAAAAACAACCTGATTTGAGCCAAGAGTAAACTTGTCCAGCAAAAAGAGTGGATTTTCCTGCTGCTTCTAAGGTTTGCTGGGGTGCAGTTACCAGTGGCTGAAACTGGGGAAGACCTCCACTGTAGATAACACTACCAAGCATTTATAGTCACTTTAGACTCTCTGGATACCAAAGTAGAGCTTTGTTTTGAACATCTGAGTGAGGGCAGCAGTGTGCAAGAGGTAAGCTGGTTTCAGTTGGTCCTCAGTTTGGAGATCCAACTAGTGAAATGAAAGATCAAGGGACTGTACCTATAGTCTCTGCAGGAAAGACTGACTTCCTACTCCTTGATTGTAATGCTGCAGTGCAAAGTATATGTCTATGGTTTAATCACCCTTCATTAGAACACAGTAATGTATTCTGAAAATCTTTAGAAATTAATCGATCGCCTCTGGGTGTCATAGGGAAATATGACATTTGTGCATCAGCCGCTTCAGTAAGCCTTTGGGTGCTCATCTTTTGATGGTATGGAGAGCAACAGGGCACATGCAATTCTGCAAATTCCTAGTGCTTAAAATACTTAAATGAGAGGCAACAAGCCTGAGGCAAAGAATATTCTGTGGGATAAGGTCAGCTTCTGCTGCCTGGAAGCCTTTCTTAACTTGTCATATTGAAGCCATACTAGAACTTAAGCAGTACAGACTCACTCAATGTAGCTACTTCAGAAAAGCCATTGAATTGTCTTAACAGTGGGTGACGTTTTAATTGGAATAGTTAAAAACCCAACCTACCTACAAATACATACATTGCCTTAGGTAGTGGGGAAAAAGTTAACATACTTAATTGTTTCTCATCAGTGTGATATAACTAAAAACCACAATCTCAGAATGATGGTGGTATAGAGCTGTTGTTCTGTTGTTCTTGTCTTTTCTTTCTGCTTCCTTCTTCTCTTTCTCCCTACTGTCCTAGCATAAACATTCAAAATGGAAAGACTCTTCTGATTATATTGAGACAAAAACTCTGAACCTAAACCAGACTGTAGAAAATTTCTCACTGGAAAAGGAATTTCTACCTGTAGAGTTTCTTCCTCTCTTTTAAATCTTGCAAAATCCTATGTGAAGTCATGTGTCACAACTGAAGCAGACTTCTGCAATGTGGGTAGTGAGCAAAGAGATTCTGCAGGTGGTCATGCTCAGGTTATAGTCACAAGGCTTTTACCTAGCTGAAGGAGATTCAGATGGGAGGGGGCTGCTGGTAGCTTATGTTCACAGACACTACCACCCTGACAAACACATCTTTGTTGTGTTTGAGCACACATGGCATATGTTCTTCTCATTATGAATGCATTTCCCTATCATGCTATCAGAAATACTTCTGAACAAAGCATTTGTTCATATATATATATATATGTATACACAGATATACTAAACCCACAAAGTACTTTTGAAAGATACCCAAACATACAGAGATCCAAGGACTTGCCTGTGCTTAGGCAAAGATTTCCTTTGGATAGAGGTTTAGGAGGGAAAGTAAAAAAATGGATTAAGACAGATTTCTGGGAGAAAGATCACCTTGATTGATATATTGCTGTCAAAGAGTAATTATTCTGTGACTACAGCATGAATTCTCCACCCACCACTAATAACTCTGCTCTGAAACCATGTCCTTATTTTTGATGTAGAACTGAATTTGTAACTTTTCAGGCTGAAAATAATTTCTTAAAAACAAAGATTGAAGTAATTCAGTGCTAAGTTGTACTTCTCAATCAGACAAAACATCATTCTAGGAGGCATGAAGTGCTCCTGCTCCTTTCCTGGGGTTAGTCTTTAAAATTCTGACAAATTCAGCACCTGCATTAACACTCTCACTGCTGGTAATTGTAGCTCAGTTGTGCAGCTGGTGCTCTGACTGTGGAGTCTGAAGTTTCTCAGGATTTCCTTGATGCAACGGGGCTCCAGAGACAGCTGTGTAACAGCCAAAACTTCCAGTTTCACATTTTTACTAGTAGAATTACGGTATTCCAATGACTAATACAAAAATGTGGCAGAAGGTAATGGAAAGAACACCAGCTGCATAGTTAGCCTCGGTAATTGTATTTAACTAATTAGAGGCTATGCTAAAAAAGTCAGCTAAAGCACTGGTCTAGAGCTCCCTATTTTTGCACAGGAGGATGTCATAGGAATTATATCCCTGTGTCTTCCTTCTGAATCTCATGTTTTCTTTTGTTCATTTAAAATGGAGATAAGAAGAGGCAAGCATCAACTCTTGTGTCTTTAAAAAATCTTGTCTGAGACCAAACTTCAAAAAGGCAAAAGTTATCTCAGTTCTCAGTAGCAGTATCCAGTTCTCTTATCATAAACATTAAGGTTCTTTCTCTTGGTAGTCAATAAACGTCTTTCTTCTGAAAGGGTCCTTCCTCGCATATCTTCCCTCCTGCACAGATACTTAACAAAATCAAGGAACACTTTCTTCTTTAAAGGCAGTTGTGTCCATTAACAAAACTTCTCCTTCCTCTAACTCAGTATGAAGCATTACTGCAATCCTCCATTACCCTCCTGCCATCCTTAATAAGACAGAGGTGTTCATTAACTACACAGAACTCCTACAACAGAAAATAGGTCGCTTTGCTGGTGAAACATCCTCTCTTAAGGAGACTGTACTGCCAAGAAACTCTGAGCTGCCACCAACAGTTCAGTTCTGCAAGTACATATCATAGGATGGTTTGGGTTGGAAAGGACCTTAAGATCATCTAGCTCCAGCCCCCTGCCATGGGCAGGGATGCCTCCCACTAGACCGGGTTGGTCAAAGCCTCATCCAGCCTGGCCTTGAACACTGCGAGGGATCGGGCATTTACCACTTCTTTGGGCAACCTCTTCCAGTGTATCACTGCCCTCACAGTAAAGAACTTCTTGCTTATACCTAACCTGAAATTCCCCTGCAGCCAAATTCTTTTGTGTTTAGCCATGGTCTTCCTTTCAAAAGGTCATTTTCTCCTTTTTTGCTTTTTGCAATTTTTTTCTACATGTGTTTATTCTTTCACTGTGCAATTGCACTTTTAATTTGTATTGTGTTTTAAGAAGGGTATGGAAGCATTACACAATATGTATACTGCGGTGTTTTCAATTAGCCCATTTTAGATTTTGAGATTAGAACCACAAAAAATTATCAAGCATTTTAATGTTACAGAAATGACCATGAAAAAAAATCATCATTCATCTTGAAAAGAGGCATAATCTACCATCAAACTCTAATAATCCTGCTTTAAAAATGCCATTCCCACTCTTCCTGAAGAAACACAGTGGAGGACACGGAGATCAAGCAGCGGTTTTGGCCTAACTCATATTGCATAATCCCCAAAATTCAGAGCACGTTTCTGGAGGGAACACCGCAACGACCTGAGCATTACTGAAAACGT